GCTAGTTCAAGCTCGAATAAACGCGCAAAACTATCTTTATTTTGTATAGCAGCTGATCCTCTCGTGGTAGCAGATGGACCAAAGGTGATACGAGCTTTTTGAAAAAAAAAAGGCGACACCATTAAAAATTCCAGTAAAACAGGCAAATAAAAATGACTTTCTAAAAAATAATTTTAAAAAGAAAAGCTTCAAAAAAATTAGTAATTAGGAGTTGTGGACAATTTTTTTTTTTATAGGTCACCAGTTGGTCCCGCGAGGATAAAAATTTAGTTTTTAAGTTAAATAATGACTTTCATGTTAGATTAAAATAAAGTGGACTTTTCAAAATTTTATGGTAAAAAGCTAACTTTAAAAATTTTTATAATTGTATTTTTTTTGCTTATACTTTAAGTGTTTTATAAAGATTTATTTCAACTAAAAAAAAAAAAGAAGTTTCCTTGAACTTTATTAGTGGAAAGATAAATCCTTTTTTATTAATTTTGATTAAAAAAATTAAATAATTATGAAAATTTTATTTGTCACCTTAAAAAAAACTTTTTGTTTCAACAGAATAAATAATTAATACACTGATTTAATAATAATTCAAGAATGAAAGAATAAAAACCTTTTAGTCTATGGAAAACCAAGTAGAATTTCCATGCCAACAAATTTTTAGGTTAATTTTATTTTATAAATTCATAAATTAAATTTGCATCTTTAGAAGTAAGGGCAAAGAATGTTTGAGTGACGGTATCCAAATGCCTACAAAAATATAATCACTAAACATTTGCAAAAAAATTAAACTAAAAAAAAAAAATTATCAATAGTTAATTTAAAATAAAACCGACTTAAAATTAAAAGTTAAGTAATCTTAAATTATGTAAGAATTAAAATGTGTTTAATAAATTAATTGTTTACTTTTTTCTTATAATTTGTTCGGTAGATAGCTTTCTCGTGTATGTTAATATTGTATATATATTATGTAAAGTTTATATATGTCTATTTAAACATCTAGTACATACTTTTTATTTTTTAATTTAGTTTTTGTTTAATTATAATTTATATATATATATTGAGCTTACTTTCTTGTGCATACTAATAATACATATATATTATGTAAAGTTTTTACATATTAATCTATGCATAAGATTCCATTTTGAAATTATATTGCTTATAAAAAACTCAGTACCTGTAATTTTTCGGAAACCCTAGTAGCAAGTAAGCTCATCTTTCATTCAAGAGGTTGACATACTAGCTTCCAGTAAAATCTTACCTTTAAAGGTTCCACCATTATAACGCTCTTGACCCCTTAAGGGGAAGACTGGGGCTAAAAATGAATTGGTTTTTTCTGCGAAATCACATCCTATGTTGAAACTATACTTTATTGTCCAAAAGTCCAATATTTCAAAATTTGATTCTATATACCCCAAACTAATATTTACATACCTAGCTAACCAAAAATAAACTTCTTACACCCAGAACTTTTTTTATCCTATTGTCCAATAAAAAGATCGTGCGAAACTGCCCAACGGAATGTTTACTGGTAACTAAATTTACCTCTTTTTTGTTTTGTTGGTTGCTGCCTAATTTCGTTAGGACATGGTACTCAAAGTTACCAGAGATTATTTCAGAAACCGAGCCTGTCGTTATGGGTCAATTTCCCATAGACCTACTCTAGACAAGTGGTAAGCATAGGTGCAGAAAATAATTCTATTAACGTATTGCGTTAGGGCGCAATACGTTAATGCAACGGTTCATTAAGATGGAAGAAAAGAAGGAAAGTAGGACAACCTTTAGCCCAACTTTAACCTTTATTCTGGTTAAAAAATCAATGGGAATAAAAAATATATTAAAATTATTACAAATTTTATTATAAAATAATAAACCTATATAAATAGCACCACGCGTTTATATGAGACATAAAGGCAATGCCACTGAAGAGGTAGTTGGGGGTCATCATTCACGTTAAGCTTAAACTTTTTTTTTGTCCTTTACTTTCTGCCAGAAGCAAACTCTTTCGACAAAAAGCAAACACTTATATGTACTATGTATCCGACCTAGCATAAACATACGCTTCTGCTGCCGGGACTTACGACTCCAGGCGATGATCCTTTCGAAATTCACTTAAGACAAAACGGTATACTACGGCTCATATCGGGCACTTCGTAATTTGTGCAAACGATGAACCATACAAAGACCTCCAGTTAAACAAAAAAAAATAAATTATAAATATTGTTTTTCTCGAAGCTTAAATGCATGACTACAAATTTTCAACCTAACGCTTTTACCACTTACGGATATTCTTACTAAGCCTATCAATTGATAATAAGAGGGGTAGCTCAGTTAAGAATCGGGGCAGGGCACGCTATCGCCAGTCACATAATACAAAATTTTGTAGTATTATAGATACCAGGACTAAAGGTAAAAAGATAGATATCTTATATATAAAATTGCTTTAACGCAAGTTAAAATCTAGTTGTAAGCTATCATCTTTTAGAGAGTTCGTAAATTAACAGTTTTTTTTTTTCCGACGGAGCACCAGAAAATACCATTAAAAAAAAAACAAAATTAGTATAAAATTAAAAGGGAAAGGATGTAACACTTGGTCGTCTCCTTCTCTATTTCCAACCCCTTTGCCCCCCGACCATTCTGCTAAACTTTTTTTTACTTTTACTCACCCGCATATGTGCAATTGAGCGAGCTTGAGTTTCGTTTATTCTCATCAGGGGCGGATGGCTTCCTTAATCTCTATTCTATACTGTTCTTGTCACTTTTAATTTAAATAAATATAAATATGTATATATACTAATGACAATTATCATTTGGTACAATGCCCTTCCATCTTCATAGAGGGTAACAACCTCTCTTCGGTTCGTTACATAGGAAGAGTGAATTTCAAACCGCCTGGAGTGTAATTAAGACTGAATGACCATAGGGGTGTTTAAATTATCAAAACGACAAGAAGTGGACGCTTACCTAAAAGGAGCAGTAATCACTTATAAAGTTATCAAGTCTTTTATTAACCCTTCAACTAACAAGAATGTATTCATACGTTTTGTAAACTGCATTACTGGACAGTCTAGAGTTTGTTATATATTCAATCCTTTTTTAACATGGTCGCACTCAAAGGAGGGGCCTATATTAGGGTCTGCCTCTCGCTCGATGGACATAAATCGGGTTCATTCATATCCTTTTAATATCACAGCTTATCATGACGTAGATATATGTACTTACCAGTTGAAGGATTTAAGAGAACATATTGATTCCATTTTATAATATATAGGCCCTCAACTATTTTCCACCTTCGTACAAACTAAATATTTTCGCGGGTAAGGCGAACTCGAACCGGAGTACATCGAACTCTTAATCTGTTGCATACCATACTCCGCTATGCCAAATAGTGACCCCCACCCTTTAGAGCGCAGGTAATGACTTGTTAAACTAATATTTTACCCGGGGCTTGTTGGTCAGGGTAAAACTACGACTACAACTATTTCTAAACTCGGTCGAACATCTGGAAATAAGGGATAAAAGAACGCTGTTGCTGAGGATTTCTTGAAAGTTTTTTATTATATTTTAACCTTAGAAATCCTGCCTTTATTACGTGTAATGTCCTTACTATATTACACCCAAACTATTTATTCGTAGTTATAAAAAGTGTAAAGTTCATTAATATTAACTTGGTTACTTATATATATATTTATAAGCAAGGGATAGCCCACAGAGTTCATAGACAAGGGACAAAGCAGATGTGTTTAAGAGAACTAAGGATTTTATAATTATTTTAAAAGTTGGAGTGCTACAGTCAAACTGTATAACGTCCTTTTACTGCTTATAACATATTTTCTATGTAGTAAGGGACGAGGAAAAAAGGTTAACGACAACAATAATCTACTGAAAACTTTATATTGCGCCGCTCGTCTGTTATATTAAAAAGAGCACGACGAGCGTAGTAAACTTTAATAAAGCTTGTGGATTCTTTGCAGAAAGAAATTTTTACATGCCTCCAACATTCTGGATTCTTCCTTAAGCGTGGACAAACAATTACGAAAAGTAGTCACTATTAATATACTATAAATAAGCTAACTTTGCTTAATATATATATTAATGAAAAAAGTGCTTCAAAAAATTATATTTAAAAAAGATCTTTTCGCTTTATAAAAAATTGATATAACTTTTATCTATACAAAAAACGATGCTGGTGTTACACTATAAATTTATTGAGGTTCTTCCTTTCTTTTATTCAATTTTTTTTATAAAAATCAGTCTGGCTTTATATCGAAAACCTCGTTATCATCTTTATAGTAATTGTTAATAATTTTTTCTATTTTACGATAAAATAGATCATTTTAATTAGTATAATAAAAACTTGATTATTATTTAATTTAACTCTCCGCTAGTAACATCCACGTCCCGTGCCCAAGTGAAATGCTTTAAAGCTCTATAGGCTATAGGTACGTATAATATATGATTGGGTGTTGTACTTAATCCGTAAGCTAGAGCTTTTTATACACGTTAAAATTCCTTTAAGAAGGTAAACAGTAGGCTCCTGTGGCGTGAGTTCCAACAGTTTATCCAAAGTATCGAGAGCAGACTTTCATAGCAATAAAAAAAAGTTTCTGCGTTAAAAGAAAGCTCACATCCACCCTGGTGATGACCCCTTTCTGTTCGCGAATTCCGCCTTTTAAATAAAGAGTCACTGCGTTTTCAGGGTCCCCCTTTAGCGAACTATTATAGGCTGATTTCGCTGCAATCCGCAAGCATTTTCAAGTATGCACGCTTGCAGCTGAGCGTGATATGCCTGCCTATAAAAAGTTTCAGCAAAAACCTTGAACTATTTTTATTATAAAGGAAATTTAAAATTGTAGGCTTTATAAAAAGTTTTATAATGACGAAAATTTTTTTTTAATGATATTTGGCTTTGCTGTAAAAGCAATGCTATAGAAGAGTGCCACGAAAAAAAATTAACAAGTTAAGAAAAACTTTTGTAATGATAATTATCAGTTGATTTCCACTTAAACGAATTATTATTTTTATTATTACTGGAAAAACTTCCGCCTAAAACCTTTTGTATTTTGTTCATATTGCTAAGCGGTCTAAACTGATACCAGAAAGTATGAAAAAGGCTCCTAGTGGCTCAAATTAAGATGAATTTCAAATCAATAAATTCCCCCCTCCCCTTCCTCCCCCACCTGCCGCCTCGTGCGAGGGCCCAACCAAGCGTTGTAGTGGCGGGAGTCCTGGTGGACTGCCGAATGGAAATGCCTGGCTGCTTTCGAGAGGTTATTCCCCTGCGACTTATTCGTGTCCGAGAAGAGTATACGCGTAAGCAAAGTTCAGGTTTACCTTTCTTATAAAGAAAATAATAATAGTAATAATAAACTTGTGATGAACCGAAAGTACTTGTATTGCTCCTTCCATAAACTTCAAAGCTGCCTCGTGGCCTTCCTGCGCATTGAAGCAGTTTCCTTAATAATAGGTAAATACCCTTCAACAACTAGAAGAAAAACATCCAGCGAGTCGACCGCGCCGCCGGAAACTTTTGAGTCACATGGTGAATCACGTGATTAGGAATGAGATGGTTGGCTCAGGGTGGATGCAGGGGACACACGTTTTCGCTGTTAACTTTTTATAGAAAAAAGATTCGAATAGAAAAAGGGTAGTGACCTGCAAGAAAAAAACAAACAATAGGCCATCGCTGCTCGCACTCAACACTACAGTACTTGTATTAGCAGTAGTACTAATACTTTTCCTATAGGTTTGCTTATCGTTTATTACTACTATTAATACTGTGAATGGACGAACACCTGTTAAAAAGAAACTTTTGGGTGCTTTAGTTTCCGAAAACAGCTTAAAAGTAATTATGAATGTTTATTATTATTAGTTTAACAATATTTTATATTATTATTTTGATTATAATTTAAAATATTGTTAAACTAATAATAAAGTTGTGCATAAAAATCTAAAGCTGACCGTTTAGCTGGCGCAAAATATATTCGGCTACTGGTGAATGAATTGGATGCAATATATATATATATATATAATTTGAACCAAATTCACTCTTCCACTGGTATAAGGCGCTTTATTTTTTTTCGACTGGCTGCAAGGAAAGTTGGTCTTCAAAAAAACTTTTAGATTTCTTTTTTTAAAAAACTTTTATTATAAAAAAATCATAAAAACTGCACTTTAAATACGTTTATGTACTATAAAATAATTGTAATAAACTTGAACTGTTGTGAATACAGTAAACGCAGTAGAAATTTTTAATATAAATCAAAAAAAATTATTTCAATAAATTAATTATAATAAAGTAACTAAAAAATAAAGAAAAAATATAAATTTAAATAAATTTATTATTTATAAAATTCAAATTGTATATGTAATTAAAAATATATATTAATTAAATTATTAGTAAATGAAAAATTAATTATAAAAATAAATATAAAAAAGTAGTTAAAGAATTAAACCAAAATTAAATTATTCAAGTAATTAGATAAATAAAGTATTAATAAATAATTATTTAAAAATTTCAATAGTAAATAAAATAAAATTTTTTGTTAATAATTTAAAGCAACTTAAAGCATTCCGATTAAATTTAATAATTAACTTTTTTATTAAAAAACTTACTTTGAGTGTAAACTTTAAACGCAACGAAACAAAATTAAACACAATCAAATTTTCAATTTTTTAATAAATCTACTCCCCTGAATTATTTTGTAAAATTCTAAATCTTAAAAATTACTAATAAAATTATTAATTAATTAAAAAAAATTAACTCTAAAATAAATTATTTCAAACTTTTGAACGCTTTACTTGATCACTTTATAAATTTTAATTAGAATGAAGATAATTAGTTTAGTATATAAAATAAATAAAAAATTAAATTTTTGGTAAAAAAACTTTTATATGGAAAAAAACCTTCGATTGCGGCCGATAAAGGAGTGTTTAAAGTATTTTCAGATCTACTAAAAAGTATTAAAGATTTCATAATTTATACCAATTATAAATTTTATAGTAAAGTGCATTCCGGTTAAAAATAGGCAAATTTACAGAGTTCAGCATTAATAAAATTGTAAGCTGATAATTTCGTAACATTTATATAATAAAGTTTTATAGGAATTACTTATAGTATCATATTATCTTAACAATAAATATATTTACAGAGAAAACAAAAAATTTATTAGATAAAATAAATTTGTGGAATTTGGAAAAAATTAAAAAAAAATAATTTACAAGTAGTAAGAAAAATATACAATTTATAAAGTTAACCAAAAATTTAAATTATAGAAATTAAATTTAGAAACAGGATTCTTTGAATAAGACCAAATTTAGTATAATTTGGACAAAGTATAAATAAAATAAATGGAGAGTTCAATTTAAAATATACAAGTTATTAACATAGTAAATATAGATTCATAGAAATAGAAAATAAAAGCAGAATTCATTAAATAAAACCAAAATTAGTAGAATTAAAAAAAAATAAAAAAAATTTGCAAGTTAATTTTAAAACATACCTATTATATAAATAATAAAATAAATTATAAAATTTAGTTAAGAAATATTTATCGAGCAGATACAAACAAGTTTACAATATAAAAACATACAAATGATTGACTTTGTCCAACGAGAATCGCTGAAATGGTATGCTAAGTACAGTGAGCACTCAAATTAGTACTCGACTTGTTATTGCTATAAAAATTAAAATGCTTTTCCCTAAAAGTTTATGCTTTTGTGTCGTAAAATTAAAAAAAAAAGATTACAGACCAAAGTGGCAAAGATAATAAACTGCAGGTATATGTACGAGTTCTTGTTTGAGGCAAATTACGTAATCTAGACTAGCTTCAAGAATTCTGCTTCCAAGGCTGATAGTAAAAAAAATTAGTATATAACTCATAAAAAAGACCTAAAAAATGAAACCAAAAGATTAAATTTTTTTTTTGAAGCAAAATAAAAACATCTTTATTTTAATTTCTCCCGCTAACTTATAAAACAAGGAAGGCAAAAAAAAAAAGACTTTTTCGTTTCTTCACCTTCAAGTAAAGAAATTAAAAAACCTATTTGGCTTCCTATAAATATTAATCATTAAAAAAGTTTTCTATTTTAAAAATAAAAAATTATTTTATTTATATTTATAACTCTTAAACGCAATAATTTGACGCATGTATAAGCAAAAAAGTAGCGAGATTCAGGAGAAAACGCCGGAAAACAGCACTTTATATGCCTGTCCATATTTCTGAGAGCCCAGATAACAACAGCCAAGAAGGCGTAAACTTTCTTCCTTACAAACTATGGCGAATAAATTTAGTAAAAAACGTATACACTATTAGCATTATATTTTACTAAATACAGTACTCTAAAACTAAAAGGAAATAAAATGGTTATACCTATTTAAAAATTAATTCTTACTAAAGCTGTTATAGTAAAATCTTTAAAGCCCAGAGCTCCCTTTTATTATAAATTTAGATCTAAAATCGAATAATTTCTAATAGTGAAGGTATATACTTTCAGCGTGGAGGATAGTAGCCAGATATGCACCACTATCTTACCGATAAGAATCAAGCAATAAGTGGCTTTTCTGAAAAGGAAAGGAGACTGCCTCTTGATCAAAAACACAATTTTTATAGGTGGTCGAAGGGTTTCTATGAGGAGAACAAAATGGAAGATTGCTCACAGAAAAGCTATTTAGCTACAAAGTAGTGATAAGATGAAGACGATGATGTTTATAATAGAAGAACTTCTCTTAAAAAAGTTAATCTATTTTATTGCTAACACTTGTAATACATCAGACTCGCTTCCAAAGGGAGTCACTTAATGAAACATCTGGAAAAAAAAAAGTTGTTTAACTTTATTTGCAGGATCCTTTGTATTGCTCTTCCTGCATGTATATTTATTATTTTTGCTGCATTATTTGAGGTTGTTAGTACTAAGAGCATAACGTTTCTTTAAAGTAAGAGTTTGTAAGGTATTTTAACGCTATCTTCATAATTTAAAGGTATACATAATATATTTACTAAGTTTACTATTTTTTAAATGTATAATATGCTAATTTTAATAATAGAGCACGATTAGTACATAGTGATTATTTTAAAAGGTATATACATTATATGAAGGATAATATTCAGGATTACCAAGAATTTACTTATTTTTTATAAAGGAAGCTTCAATTATTTATATAAATTAATAAATTTTAAAGTTTGTTTTTGTTATAAGAGCACCATAACCATGGTTGTGTTATTGAAAAGATTATAGCTTCGCCTTTGTATAGCTGTTAATTTATAGTGCCTAAGTCTCATAACAAAAAGAGTTCTCTTTAGCCTGAAAAATTTGTTTAAATTCAGCTCTTTCGAAAATTAGTGTGCTTTTTTAATATTAAAAAGCCTCCAAACGGTTAGCTAAATTATTTTAAACATAGATAATAATTATGACTCACCTAGTTATAAAAAAAAATCTCTCAGGCAGTTCTATTAATACAAATTTTTTAAAGTTAAAAAATTCAGTTGAGTCTTTTCAGAATTACTTTTACCATGATATAACATAAGTAATCTATTTAAGACAATAAGACAAGAGAATTATTTATTATTTTCAAAATTTTAATAGCGGGAATGGGTGTAAAGTTACTAGGATCTCGTTATCAAATGTTTCTGTGAAAAAAAACGAAATTTGTTAATATGAATTTTTCCTACAAAGCTTATATATGAAAATCATTGACTATTTGGAGAACAAGCCGAGATGGTGACCGCTGCCTCTTACAAATTGTTAGACATATTTTGTTTATTACTTCTCTGCCCGAAAATATGATGAAGTTAAAAAATTGACCTATTGCTTTTTAAATGCATCAATATTTATATTAAATATTTATTTGTAATTTTCTAACTCCAGAAACCCAAATTACAGTTAAATTTTTATAATGAGTCAATTATTTTGAAAAACTAATGTTATAATTATGTTCATAACACTTAGATTGGTTACACACTAATTATAAAAGACCACTCTACCACCAGTTTGCAATATCTCACACCTTCCGCTAGATCACTGCTACTAATTAAAAGAGAATGTTAAGGTTAATTTTTTGAAAATATAAACAGAAAAATTCTTGTAAATATTACAACTTTTTTGGTTCAGATTCGATTTTTAATAGCAACTAATAAAAATGGAGAGATGTAAGAAATTTTTAAAAATTAAGAATTTCTTTTCAGTAGTTTTTATTTTTGTTTTCAAAAAAAAGTATGTGTTATGGTTTACCAAAAAACCTTCTACCGTGTTTAAAGGCTATAATAATATAGAAAATTACTTAAACTCAGTTTTTTATTCTACATTATTTAGTAAATAATATAGTTTATGTACGCTTATTTGGACAGCAACTATTAGTATTCTTAGTTTATAAATTTTAGATGAAACAATATTTTGTTTAAGTGAGAAACTACTTGATTGGCTTACTTTTAGCTGTTGGGACATTAATAAAAAAAAAATTTAGTGCTAAAGCTTTGGACCAGCCTGTTACTAAATTAGACGTCCATAATTAGAGTTATTCAAAATTAATGATTTCAATTTAAAAGCAGGGGAGTGGTACTTTATACTATTAAAACCTAAAATTAATAAGATTAATGGTATTCACCATTTTTTAAAAATATGTAGGCTAAAATTAGAAAAGGGTCTAAAATTATGCTTAATCATTTACTATCTAGAAAATATGTCCTCTAGGTCTAGAAGGCCGTTAGTACTGTGAGGTGTCATGGTCTCCTATAA